ATATTACAGTCTGATTGATAAAACTAGATTATTATTAACATATTACACATATTACAGTCCGATTGATAAAACTAGAATATTATTAACATATTACAGTCCGATTGATAAAACTAGATTATTATTAACATATTACAGTCCGAGTCGCAATTCAATCCACATAAATCAGTTTCACGTTTCTCCACTCACTTTTTACACACAAAGAAGCTGTTTTAGCAATGTTACATATGCTGAATGAAGAGTTTTTGTGTTGGTAGTGTCAGTTTTCGCAGATTTATTTAACATTTAATTTAAACAAACAAAACAAAACAAGCTAATAGTTTTGGTTTAAAAGCGAATTTAAAACATTAGCGATACACACAGGGTCCACGCGGAGTCCTCACGGCCTCTCACGACGTTTAAAATCATTTGCAAATCTTAAAAACGCGTAACATCCGAGCGTGAAAACCTTCTGTTTGTGTGCATTCAATCACTGGAAGCTGCCATGTGTACATCCCATAATGCAGCTGTTGCTGTAACCACGGTAACAGCTTGGTGCGTTCTGATTGGTTCTGCTCTACTGAAGAAGAAAAAAAAGTGGGTTTCTCCTGATTTATTCACCGGCGCATTTAGTGGGGACCAAATGGGCGGAGTCTGCGCACAAATTCAACGGCGTTTTCGCCGACCTGTGTGCCGCGTACTAAAAAAGTAACAAACCCTATGGGGATTTGTCTTGAACAAGCGGAAGTAATAATTAGTTGATAAGCACTGTTTGTGCAAAAACAAACAATAATAAAAATAATGTATAATACACATTTTATGATAAATACATGTGTTGTAACTCCTACTACATGGGTGTTTAAAAATATAAACCTGTTTAATATTAAAAACACATAAATATTTAGACTTAGTGTGGTCAATGAAAGGAACTTAAATATGTATTTCAGTCAAAACGTAAATACTTTGCAAAGGATTTGTGTCAGATCCTTTATTAAACTACTTGAACATAAAACTCGGAGCAGGGGATTCTTCAATGACAGACTAGAATAAATAAACCTGCTCATATACAATTCATAGTTTCTATTTAACGGACATTAATGTTATTCCAAGGCATTTATCACTGTAGTAGCATCATAGTCTCCATACTGTGATCAGACCATGCTGCTGCTGTGTTACACAAATCATGCATTTTAAAAAGTACAGCCTATGAAGATCACAATACCGCTGTTTAAGGCTATGAAGAGCCCAACGTAACCTCAAAAATACACATTTTAGAGTAGTTTCTGTTTTAGTAGCTGAGATTTTACTCATCATCCTTACCTTTGACTTCAGCCTTAGCTTGTGAAACTGAACCGGTGCAAAGCTGAAGAGATTGCAAGTTACCCAAAATAACTATGTACAGTATGCTGGCTATGCTGTGTATATGTTTGTGTATCTAAATTAAGGTTATACATATGTATATGATCTGACTTCCTTTTCCATATACATGTTTGTGCATTAAGGTTTTTTTTTGTTTTTTTTGAGCTCATGTGACATGAATGAGCATGTGCGCATGCATCATGGAGCACCATCTTGAATTACATGGCATTAGCAGATAAGGTTGTCTTCCTTCTGTCTCCTTCCATCTCCTTCTTGCTGGCTGACAGCAGCAGGCAGACTCTACACTTCACCTTTTCATTCACAAAATGAATAAAACTTTACTACAAAAACTTTTGTCCACCACTTGATTTTGTACATTTTGCTGGTGTGCTACACAACACATGAACATGCAGAGATTAAACCAAAAAGTCTAAAATGATTATCCTGAAGTTTAGCAGATGGTGCAGTAGTTTTCCAGATTTAAAGATATGCATAGCAGAAATGTGGGTCCACAGTCATTGTAAACAAAGTACTTTAATCTGCATACCTTATTCAACCAATCTGAGTGTAAATAGATAGAAAAACTTCAACTTTGTCAGACTTCTTCATGGACTTCACCATTTTATGACTAGCTGTAACAATCATTAAGAATGACATCACAGTGAGCATCTTTCAATATGTCCTCATGTTGCTGTAGTCTGATGTCAGTTTTTTTTTTTTTTTTGTTGTTGAATTTTTAAACTTTATTCAGAACTAATTCTTAACAACAGCATGCTGCTGTCATCATACTTCCTGTGGATTGCAGCAGTGGTATATATGTGTGAAGAGCAAAGTCTACTTTATTACAATTCACCTGTTCAAAGGGTTTGTTTCATGAAATGTAACAATGTTTTATTAGGAGGCTGGGTTGTAGTTCACAAACAGCTGAAAAAACACCAGCATGCTTAGAAATAAAGTTATAGCGACAAAACACATCAAATAAACACACACACACAACCATCAACCTCAATGGTCAAACTGGCTTTGAGAGGAATTGAATATTAATGGTGACAACTTAACTTATGACTGAAACAAAAAGATGAAAGCAGAGGTTTGTTGGAGTCAGCCCATAATGAACCAGAATAATTTGAGAATATTTTGTCATTTAGACGAGACTAAAGGGATTTAAAGGCGTGAAAGGGCTAGATAAAAAATGCTTCTCATTTAACTTTTTATATATATTTAATTATCCTATCATATGCAACCTTCTTATGTTTTAGAGGTTGGAACTGCTGTAAATACTAAATACCTGCAAACACAAAGAGAAACCAAACCTTTTTCACCTGATAAACTGGCGCCGTGTGTTACAGAATACACATCTAAACCTAATTTGACAGACAGACAGGCAGGCAGGCAGACAGACAGACAGGCAGGCAGGCAGGCAGGCAGACAGGCAGACAGACAGACAGACAGACAGACAGACAGAACTGTGGTGAAACTGGTAGAGCTAATGCCTCTCAGCGAGAAGGTTATCTTGGTTCAAATCCCAGTCCAGTGACCTTTCTGGGTGGAGTTTGCATGTTCTCTCCGTGCATGTGTGGGTTTTCCTCGGGTACTCTGGTTTCCTCCCACAGACCAAAAACATGCATGTTAGGTTGATTGGTAATTAAATTGTCCCTAGGTGTGAGTGAGAGGGTGAATGGTTGTTTGTCTCTATGTGGCCCTGTGATGGACTTGCGACTTGTCCAGGGTGTACCCCGCCCCTCGCCCAGTGATTGCTGGAAATGGGCATCGGCGACCCCCATGACCCAAAATGGAACAAGCGGGTAAAAGATCATGAATGGATGGATGGATTTAATTCTTACAAGCTTCATTAGAAATTTCCCAGTGGTTCATAAGATATATTAAATTCACTTTATTTATAAAGCACCAAGTCACAACAGAAGTCATCACAGGCACTGAACAGAAAGTCATATATAAAAATAAGTTATTAGAAATATTATATAAAAATAATAATTTAACACTATTTATTATGCTAACAGACAGACATACAGGCAAAAACATGATAAACCGCTTTAACCTTTCAGGGGTGGGCAGAACAAAATAAAAATATTTGGGGCTAGCACTGCTTCTTTACCCAGGTGCTCTGATGGCTTCATGCTCTTTTAATCTATTTAACTACTAGTAATACACAGATTCACCACTAGGTGGGAGCATAGCTCAAAGGCACAGAAAACATCCAAAAGGTCACCAGCTGAAACTGAAAAAGTTCCTGTAGGAAAAACTTTGCTTTCATATACTTAGTGCTAACTTCTGCAATCAAAACAAAAACCTTGTTGAAACTCATGTGATCCTATTTAATCTGACGTGTGTAACAAGTGCTTTATCAAGTTTTTTAAAGAATGCAAAAATCTTTTTGATGCAGTGAGACTTGGCATCAACACGGTGGTCCCTGTTGATGATCATTCTCTTACAGGCTTTAAATCTGGACCTTATTTGATGTAGGTTTATGTTAACATAAGCCATGCTGCAGTTATGGAATCCTTCGGAGCGGGGAAGCTCCTGGAAATTATCAAGTTCTGATTGAAAGTTTCTTATAGTTTGTTTCTTTTGCAGATCTTACAAATCCATATTTTATTCATAATAGAATGCAGTAAACATTTCAAATGTTGAAACTAAAAATTTATAGAATACAAGTTATTTTGCATTTAATAAAGAACACATCTCAAATAATCCCCTCTTCTTTGAGGATCTGAGGAGAGAGTTACTGGAGTTGTTGGAGGAAACTGTTGTCCTCTTCTGGTCTGATGCAGGATTCTAGTTGTTCAACAATCCTGATCTTCTTGCTTTGCTGGATTTTTTTTTTTTTCTTTCATTATGCACCAAATGTTTTCAGCTGGTGAGATGTATGGACTGCATGCACTTCTGTACCCAGACTCTTCTAAAATGAAGGCACATTGTTGTGATGGATACAGCATGCAGTTTATCAATGTCTTTTAGAAATATCTAAGGCCTTGCATGAAAATAAAGAGTTGTCCAAATGAGAGTATATGATGTTCTAAAACCTGTATATATTTTTCTGTATTGATTGTGCCTTTCCAGACATATAAGCTGTCCATACAAATGACTCTTATGCACCCCCATACCATCAGAGAAGCAGGCTTTTCAGGTGCGTGTCGATAACCAGAATGGTCCCTCACCTCTTTAGTACAGATCAGTGGGTGGAAAACAGCTGATCTGCTGAGTTGTGCAGGACAAGGATTTGTCTACTTGCAAGTATTCTAGGTACATAATGTTGCCTAAATTGAAAAAGTTAAGAATCATATTATTTTACGCATGTAGGAGTTGTGGTTTTGTCCCTGGTGTTGTGTTTATGTCTGTGTTCCCTCTGATCCTCTGTTTCTCTTTATAGGGTTTGGGTTTCTCTAGTGTCTAGTCCCATCTTGTGTCATGTTCATGTCTTGCATCCTCTTTATCCTTCTCTGGCATCTGTGATTACTCACAGGTGTCATCACTTGGTCTAATAGGTGTTTCCTGTATATAAATCTGTGTTTCTGTGTTAGTCCTTGTCCTGGCATTGTCTCCTGTCATCTGGTGATGTCTACTCCCGGTGTACTCCTGGATCGCTTACGTGAGTTTTTGCTTCCCTGTCAGCCTTTTCTGTTATTTATTGCAAATAAATTCTTTATTTAAACCTGAGTCCTAGGTTGCCTGCCTGCGCCGCTGTGTTCACCAGCACCAGCCCCATTGTGACAACGCCTCAAAACCGGGTATCTTGCTCAGGTGCTGCATACCAACAGTTTGTATATGCTGAAGTAATTACAGCATGAGTGACAGCTCACCTCAGTTTGGACTGAAGATGAAGATGCATAAAGAGCAGCAGTATGTGTATCACCCAATAGACAATAAGCATCTCGCTCTATATTCATATGGATACGTCACACCACGCTGTATATTCTGTCTAGGTAGAATACATAAATGAATGTCCTGTGTTTAGGACCTTATGATCTCGGTCTCTGGAGAGCTTTGAAATCTCCTGCTGACAGGTTTCAGTACTTGTGTGACGATGAGCGCAGTGGTTGATAGATAACTCTGTCGCTGGCTTGTGTGGTGGAAACCATCATGGAAACTTGCAATGTTGCTATAAATAAGTTTTCCTGTGCTCTGTTGCCAGCCATGTTGTCAGTCCTTTAGTCATTCAGTGGTGTGTTTATATTCTGCACTGTGCTTCTGAG